CCCATTGCTACTCCATATATCTGTGAATAGAACTTGTTTTCGTACTGGAAATATGTGGATTTTAAACACAATTCTACCGCCTCAATAAATTCTTTTTCGGGTAATGTTGTATGTTCTTTTATCTCTGCCCATTTATTTTTTATACAACTTATTGAGTAATCTATTGGTATATTTGTATATAATGATACAACATCCAGTGATATTATCCGATGATTCTTTGGTATTTTTTGTTGTTTTATAAAATCACAAAAACTCTATGAGTCTTTAATGTAATATTGTGACTTTCCCAATACATTACTCAAAACTGCTGACAGATATTTATATAATTGGTACGTTGGAGCATTTATGTTACTAACTATCGGTCGTAATGGAATGTTTTCCTTATGAAGTTTTGGTAGGCCATATATAAATGGTGCTCGGCCATTGTTGCAAGATAGTGTTCGTTTCAAGCTATCTGTTATGAATTGATTTTTATGCCATAAATTTATTATTTTATTTGGTTTTGTTTGTATATTGGTAGTAAGATCTTTTTTTCCGGTTTATATGTTTATATCATTTATTAAGCCCAGCATTTTAGTTTTGTATTCACTTTTTAACATAATTACAGTTTTGTTACATTTATTTGCTGTTAGTATGCAAATGTTTGTGTTTTCATACATAAATTTTTTTGTTTCATTTATCAGCCCATTAACATGACATACCATACTTTTATTTGTGTTTTGTTTTATTTTACCTTTGAAATTTGTTAAGATGTTACACAATTTATTTCTGATCTCGTCCTTTGCCTCATTATTTAATGAGAAGATTCCATGTTCAATGCTTGTTATGATTTCTGAAATTGGACCATAGTGAGACTTATTTATGGAGAACCTTGGTCCAAGTGATAAGATGTATTTTACGTTATTCGGTATGTTTAGTGAAGTCAAATTCTTTATCCAATTTTCATTAATGTTACATTTGTTTGTCCTGCCATGTTTCTTTGCTAAAAGTTTTTCTAGTTTATTTTTTTGTTTTGCTTTAATCTTGTTGAACACAGTTTCATATTTTTGTTCTTGTTGTTCATAAAACACTTTTATTTTATTTTGATGGCATGTTTTTTGTTGTAACGATATTTTAACATTATTAATGTCTTTGTTAATTTCATTCAGTTTGGAACAACAATCGCTCAGTATTATATT